GGCCTCAGGCCAGCGCACGCCCTCACCTTGCAGTCCATTCCCGTTGGCGCTGGTGCAGGAAGGAGGAGGGGAAGCTTGGGGCCGGACCACGGGCGCGAAGGCGCTCTTTTGTTTCACTGCAGAGATGACATTGGCAGGTGAGAATGAGAAAATGCCGTGTGTACTGCTACAGTTTGAAGGGAGGGTGACCGAAGAGGCTGCCATGGTGGGGCTGGACGGCACTACTGCAACAAAGCAAACATGGTAAGGATGCGCGACGCCGGGCTCGGCCACACGACAGAGAGAGGGCTGGGCCTCGCCTGCAACATCGGGCCAGCAGAGCGAGCATGAGATGTTTCTGGCTTGGCCACTCTCTGGATAACAGGCAAACTCTCGTGTTGGACTTTGGTTTCCAATTGGGTGGCCCCAAGGGTGCCGATTTCGGTTGGGTTTCCAATGGGGCCGCACGGGCCCGCTTTGGGTCAATTTACTGTCGTCATGTGGACGCCCAGCCTCCAGAGCCACCCTTCCTTTTATCCAGTAGCTCACACCACAGAACATCCAAGCAACGCACACACTTGACTTTGCAGCGAATATGAATCTGTGTGATGACGTGTGACAAAAACAGACACTTACTGCCGTAGGGAGAGTTAGCGGAGGAGCCATTAAGAAATCCAGGCGAGCCAGGGACCCCTAGATTGGCCATGGCGCCACTTCCATATCCATTCATGCTAGTGCTCACTGTGTTGTAATTGGACTGCTGGGGAGTACTGCTGGGGGCGTAGCCTCGCGGGGACACGCTGCTGGTATTGCGACTGTAGCCGACTGTCAAAATCCCCCCCGGCCAAAAACAACGTTATTATCAGGGAGAGACACTGGGGGGGGGCTTCCCCGCAAATCTCTATCATATATTCAACATTCCTAACTGACCTCAAATGCTTTCCGCCAGCTCAGATAACCTCCTCACGCCAGCCCCGCTCCAGCCACGGCCGAGCCCCGTCCTGCCTCGCGGGCCTGCGCGACCAGCCCGAGCGCGCTTGCATCTAACCGTCAGTGGCTTTCACGTTTCTCTTTAGAAGCAGTTACCAGCCGCTCAGCTTCCTGGTCTGTCCCCCCACTGCCCGCCCCAACACGGTGTGAACTGTCGGCCTCTGCAGACCTTCAAAGGCCACGGCTGACAAGGAGAGCTCGTTTGTGGCTGTGACTCCCCAGGAAAGGCTGTTCTGGGGTCTTCATTTCTGTGGATGCTATTTCTGTCAGTGTGGGGGAGGGGGCAGGGGCCTCCCTCCCGCCGTGGGAGGAGCGTGGACAGGAGCCAAGCAGCAGGACCAGGAGGGGTCTCCTGAGATGACTGCCTGCATGGATTTTAGAAGGGATGGAAAGGGGCTCAGAGAGCCGGCCCCAGCGGTGAGCCGCCAAGACCCCTGGCCGCCCCGGGCACCACACTCCATGATAAGGTGCAGGGGAGGGCGTGGGCGCTTCTCTCCACATGTTCCTTTCAAACTCAGAAGCCAAACCCTCACCCTCCCTCCTCCCCGTGCCACGCACCCAAGAAGGGTCCCATTGGCTCCTACATCACAGCTATCCTAACCCCAGCCTTTCCACAAAAGCAGAGCCACTTAAGAATCAATTCAAGGAAACTTCTAGCAAATACCAGTAAACTGCGTGGCAGCCACTGTAGCCGCCACCTCAGTTTCTGGGTCCTCGAGCATCCTCTCCTGCGCTCGCTGGGACCAGAGCTTTGAGCAGAGCCGCAGAGACCGGGGCACTATCCACGTCCCCACTGGACTCGGGGCCCAGTCCCCCCATCCCATCAGGTGTCCAGCAGACGGCCGGCCCTCGTGCAGCGTACCTTGGTCATTGGCTTGTGACGTCTCGGAAACGTTGACGGCGAGCTGGCTGCTGAAGGAGTTCACACCCATCATGCCGGTGTGCGCGGGGGTGTTGCCCAGGGTGGGGATCTGGTTGTGGTTGCGCGGGACGCTGTACAACGCCTCGGCGATGTCAGCTGCTCGCTTCAGGATGATCTCCTGGAGCAGGAGCGCGAGCCCATCACTCGCAGGCCGGGCCTGCTGGCCGCCCCCCACCGCAGCTGGTAATCGCCCCCCACCAGGGGCACAGTCCCGGCCCCGGCCCCGCCCCTCCCCCGGCCTGGCTGGGCAAATTGGAGGCATTCCACACCCCCTGGTCCAGCCGGTGACAAAATGTATTTTTTAATGGGAGAAGATCCTCCCTTAGGGAAACAACTTAACAGCACTTCTGCGAGGGCCCCATCTGTTCCATTCTGCACTCCAAAGGCCCCTGAGGTACGCCTGGGGGTCGGCTAGCATGGAAGCCACTGGCTTCAGAGGCAGAGAAATGGGTCCATGTCTAGAGGGGAGTCCCCTGCGTCTGCTCCCCAGAGGCCCCAGGGCCCCAGCAGCCCGTCTGCCGGCCACTGAATCCACCAGGAGGACTTCAAGGCGGGTTTCCCTCTAACAAGCCTCTACTGCTTTTGGTTCCTGGGACTGACTGGCAATTTTCTACTTGAATGCGAGGCGTGAGGGCACAAGCAGGTGGAAGGAGGCGCCCTCCCATCGGACACTTGGGAAGGACGTGTGTGCCCAGAAGGCCGGCCCCGGACCCCGGCCGGCTGGCCGTCCGAGGCTGCTGGGCGGCTGGGGAGGGCGGCGGGCCGAGCCGCCACCGCCTACCTGGTTGTTGTGGGGCATCCCGTATAAGGCTTCCACGAGGTCCGCCGCCCTCTTAAGTAACACTTCCTGGAGGAGAAGCAGAGGGGGAGTTCACAGGGGGAACTGCAGAGGGCGCTCTTCCAGGAACATCTGTAAACTCCCAGTGACATCTGCAGGGACAGACCCAGAGCCACCCACGTCCACCCCGCCTGAGCCCGCGTGGAGGCAGGCACGCGGCGGGGACGTGCGTGCCTGGGCTTCGCAGAGT